AACATCCTATAAATCTAGTTAAACACACAGGCCTGCATGGGGGGGAAACGTCAAGAAGCCTGGTGACCAAATGCACATGCTGCTTCCTGTAAACGTACAATAGTCACTTGAAATACTTTGTTCCTGGTGCCATGTTCCCTCTGCCACTCATCTCCTCTTTCTTCCACTCTCTCAAACTTCAAATGTTCTTTTACCTTATTGTGTTTAGATAGGCTGTTTGATATCCTTGTTGGAGAAACGTGAATAAGATGGGCTTAAGTATTTGGGGGATGTTTTCTAGTTGGCCTTTTTTATGTTTTAAGATTTCCTCTGGCATAATTTCTTAAATGGCAATTCATGCAAATACAATGACAATAGCAATAAATACCAAGGTGGGAGTTCAAATCAATTTGCATCCTTTAGAACAAGAGGTTTATATCACACACCAAACACATTATTATAGACTTTAAAGAGGAGACTGAGGAACAGGACTAAGACAGGTCCGGCCACGTTCTACACACACTCTATTACATTATTGTCACGGGGGTCCTTCCCATCCAAATCCATTTAAGGCCATGCTATGCTGTGACAATATAGTATCGCAGTGTCACTGTGGGACCGGTTTCAGAGACAGCAAAGTGTATGGAAATAGCCTCTGCTTTACGACCAAGTTAGCCCAGACTCTGATCTCAGCCCTGACACTTCCTAGCTGTCCAACCTTGAGCAAGTAATTCAAAATTTCTTACTTTTTATTTCCTCATCTGAAAATGGGATCACTGTCTACATTATTGTGGTGGTTGAGAAGATTAAATAATTTGATGTAGGTGAAAACACCTAGCAGAATGCCTAGAACTTAGGAAGGACTCTACAAATGTGGGCTTCATTCCCTTCCTTGCCTGCTTTTCGCTTTTTCCAAACACACTTGATCTACAAACTAAGAACATTTTTGGCAAACATAAATTAAAGAAGTGATTCCTGGTTGTGGTTTGGCGAAATCCAAGTTGTCACTAGTTATTTTCAGAAGTATCACACAGTTCTCAAATGGAAATTAGTTTTAACTTCATTATTTTTAAATGCCACCTGCATAAAAAAGCTAGTGTCACAAAATTAAATAATAATAGCTGTGGCAGTTATCAAAAGGTTGGGAATCCCCATATCAAAACAAAAAGAGAAGCGGAGATTTGACATTTATGAAAGAACCAGATAGGATCTTCAAAACTAAGAACCAATTATTATAAAGGGTACCCACAAACGCAGCGCTGGCCTTGCATTATATTTTCTCGTGCCAGTGATTAACGTCACAACACAGTATAATAAATTGTACATGGCAATTTCATATTAAGAAATATTGAAACATAAACAAAAAGTAATGGGAAGGGTAATTTTTGTTCTAATAATATTTGGACATTTAAGTATAAATACTGTCTACATTTTCAAGATCATATACATGAAACTTAGCTACTTACAAGAGGATACAGTAAAAATTAATAATGGACCAAGCATATTTATTATAATAAAAAATTTCTCAAATTTCCAAATCTATTTGAATTAGTTTAGAAGTCATGTACAAACAAGAATATAAATTTTATATAACATCTTACTGTTAACAAATGAAAGGCAAATTCTGAATTTGATCATCATTAAGCATACATGCAATACAAAACATCATTTCAAACTATGTTTTGTATCCACTTTGGAGGTTAAAATTGTCAGAAGTTTGTTAGCTGTGGTGTCACCAGACAAACTGTAATGTGGGCCTCGGTAATGGCATGCCCAACATGACACATCATAGAAATGATTAGCATTTATTTTTTCAGGTTCTGGGTCATAGCAGGAAACAATAGTGACAAAAATCTCTCTCATAGAGTTTACATACTACTGTGGAAAGAGGAAGATATTTTAAAAAATGAGTGAATTATAAAATATGTCAGAAGGGGAAGGGCCATTGAGAAAATAACCAAGTGAGTGCGTTGTATACATCTATTACGGACTTGGGAAATTATTTGGTTTTGACAACTGGAAGTATCTTAAGAGTGTTTATGGGTATTACTCAAAACAAATTAGAGTGAACAGAACCTGTAATGGAGAGTAGAGAGATGAAATGCAGATTATTACAAGGAAAAAAGTAGAGATTATAATAACAGACTCAAAGTTGGCAGGAGGCTTAGATCTTGTTTAGGAAACCCTTGTTCTTCAGATTAGGAAACAGAAATCCTGAGAGTTTGAAGAGTAGAAGATAGAAATAGAATAGGAAAAAAGGTATCTTAAAATAATATTCATCCCTTTAGGTCAATACTTTCACCTATTATGAGTGCAAAGATTTTCTTATACCCCAGAATCAAGCATTCTGGGTTTCACTCTACTGAATGCCTTACATATAACTGCAAGGCAGAGTGTAGGGTTCTGGTCATTTGGACATCATTTCCATTGCCTTCAAGGGTAATAACACTCTTGCCAGTAGATGAATGTCAAAAAGTCTTTCTTTAATAAACTCACTCTCTAGGCCCTGCAGCATGAGGCTGGGCCTGGGTGGGGTCTGGCTAACAGGAGTGGCCTAAAATATCCGATTCTAGTCCTTCCCAGTGGGGGAATCTGGAGGTGACAGCCCTGGCAGGACCTTGTCCATCGTGTGGACAAATGCTTTCCCCGGGGATGTTAACCATGAACTGTGAGAAGAATTGGCGTCCTATCTGATGGGAACAAAAAAATCATCAGCCTGAGGTCTCCTGATCACTGGGAGCCAGTTCCTAAGTTAACAAGAGGAAAAGAGCTATTTTTAGAAGGTGGCAACCCAGTTTCCAGTCGCCATCCTTCATAGGCCACAGTGTTGACTCTCTGACTTCCAAGGACCTTCTGGGTTTCAGAGTCATCGTGACTTTGGGACATTATCTTGTTTCCTGAGGCCTTTTGCTCCCTGAGGGGCAAGAGCGGAACACTGATCTGTCATGAGTTTTGCTCCTTGTTCCCGGCCTTGATGGCTTTGCCTTCATCTGGCTGGGACAGATAAGAGGAATAGTTAGTGGAATCTAACTCAAGGGCTTGAAGCCAGAAAGTCAAGGACATATCCTTCAGCACCAGGGGCCTGAAGTGGGGTTTCCAGTAGCAGCAAATTCTTCATTGGATAATGAATAGAACAGAGGAGAGGCAGGGGAGAGGATAAAAAATTAGGTTCCTGAGTTTTACTGCAATAAATAAAATAGTAATTATAGTAATGATAATGATGCAGCATGTTTTAGCTTTAGAGAAATGACTGTAGGAGTCTGGATTACAAATCCTTACAATCCCTAATGCACCAATCATAAGCCTCTTTTAGAATAATGCATTTACAGGGAAGCACAATGCCAAGGCACATTTATTTTGGAACAGACTTAGGTGATCCTCTTGCCTAGTGATCTGGTCAGTGCCAGAAGAATTCACCCAGAAAGAACTGCATTCACTTTGATCTCAGACTGTTTTGAAGTCTTCCAGTAGGCAGAATATGTACTTTTTCCCAGACTTGGAGAAAGTCCAGAAGAAACACAGAGAATGATCAAAGGGGTTGAAACTAGAGTCTAGGAGAAGAGTTTTTTCAAAAAGGGAGCTGCATTTGCTTGGAGAAAGCAGAGAAGGGAGAAAGACAACAGCTTTGAAAGCTACGAGGAGCTGTTACTCATAGTAATCCATTTATTCATTTATTCATTCACTCAAAGTGCCGCGCAGTGGCCCAGGGCCTGGTAGACATGTGGGAGGACAGAAACAGAGGGACACAAGACAAAGCCCTGACTTCAGAAATCTCCTCTCCATCGCCTCAACCCAGAATTGACAACATCATGCGCAGAGGTGGACACAAGTAGGAAATAAGTATGAAGTGAAGCTATGTAAGGTACTGAAATGCTTGCCAAGGCGAAGGTACCGATGGAAACGAATGCATCTCCATTTGCCATTCGTTTATGAGAACAACTGCTGGTTAAATGGTGAAGTAATTTTCAGGGCTGATTGGGAGAACTTCCACCAGAAAAAAAAAAAAAAAGATCATAGCTTTAATTTCATAGCTTTGTATATTCTATTGTATAGGCCTGGTGTAGTCGGTATAAAGCACAACAACTGTTGTGTGGTTTCCATTATGCTTTTCCTCTCTGCTAGACGTGATTCATATTAGGGACTATCCAGGCCACAGAAATAGCAGAACACGCAGAAGCCAACGGTGGCATCTTTTCCCACCACGCTGAAGCCTACAGAAAGCCCACTGGCAAACTTACCAAGAAAACACGTATGTACGAATTCATGGTAGTCAGCTTTGTTATTAAGTCTTGGTTTTCTCTTGTACCCCAGGTTCTTGGAATTCCCCATCTTACATTAACTGAGATTTATCGCCATTTAGGACAAATAAATTTGTGAGTCTATCCCATAAATAGGGATGACTTTATACTCCCTTTATTTAAATAATATATTCTCTAACAAACAAGTTAGAGAATTCACCAGGATGGGGTGTTTGTTTGTTTCTTAACATGAACTTTCTGGTTTAACTCTCTAACCATTCAAACAGGAAATTTCAAACTTTTCTAGCCATAGTCAAATCCAGTTTAAAAACTTATAAGAAACCAAGACAACAGAGGGAGAGTTTTATAACTGAGGAGTGTGTTTTCTAGTCAGTATTTTCAGTATTCATTGATCACTGTGAAAATTTAAATAAATATTTTAAAAATGCTCAAAATTGACTTCTGTGGGTCTCCCCCACATGCAAACTGCCCATACCTGAAAAAGTCCTTTTTACCTTTGTTCTTTTTTTTGTTAATTATATATATTATTTTAAAGTGGATAGGACATTTTAAAGAAATTATGTGCTTTTAATCCATCTATAGTTAATCCATTAAGTAATACATTCTGAGAAAATTTCCGCATTATACAAACGACATCATTTGCTACTAAAGATAATGCTGAAACGTAGGTGATAACTATGAAACTCTTTCATTGCGATCTGCTTTGTTTCTCCCTCATCCTGAAACAGCATCTCAGGGGCCAAGTATCTGTTCAGAGCTTACCTGTCTCACTTCCAATCAAAGGCTGATTTGCAAAATGCTTTACGAAATCCTTCAAAGATGCGAATTCATTGAAGCCAAATTTAAATGAATATCCAGTATATTCAACATGGAAGTGTTTCACAGAGTCTTTGGCTCTGAAAGAGAAAAAGAAATGTTCAATTGTTATTTAGCAAATGGATATCTTCTTTGAAGGGAAATATGATCTAAGCTATTGGCATCACTGTGAACCCTGTTTAAGAACTGAGAATTACGCAGTCGTTGAGATCATGGGGTTCTACAGAGCACCGCTAGTTTCTTTGGACAGTTTCACTCTAATGGAAGACACGAGACAATTCTCTCGACCTACTCTTGGACTCACCGAAAGTGTCCTTGAACATTACCTTCTTCAGGGGCATGAGCTTAAGGGCAGAATGACAGAAACGGCATGTGACACTCTCCCCAAATCCTCCTCTGTCCTTGGCCCGCCTCCCTTATTCGTTTGGGAGTCAGTCAGAATTCAGCTTCTGTCACTTAATTTGCTACGTGAACCCAGATCTTTTCCTCCCACGCATGTCCCACTGTCTTCTGAATAAAATATCAAATTTCCTACATTGCCATTTTCCAAATGCGGCAGAGTATTAAATAATACATATGTCTGTACATATATATGCATTTTAGTTGACCTCATTCTATCTTCTAGCCTCACCTCCCACTCTTCCTCGCCATGCAGCCCACGCTCCAACTTCAGTGAGCACCACAACCACCTGGGGGGCGCGTTAAAGCCCAGAGTGCTGCCTCCCTACCCCAGGTTCAGATTCCAGAGGTGCAAGATGGGGCCCGAGAATCCACATTCCTTCCGTGTTCTCGGGTCCGCTGCTGGTCTGGGGACGCCACACCTTCAGAACTGCTGCTCTGGTCCACCCGGACCTATTCTTCTCCAAGGGGTTTTCATCTCTGTCCCTTGGCTCACACTGTTCCTTCCACCTGAGTTATTCACTCTTCTTCCCTGTCTCTGCTGGTAGAAATCTCAGCTACTCATCAAGTTTTAGTTCAAACGCCGCCTCCTCTGTTAAGTATTACATGATAACTCCAGCTTCAGTTAACTGCTTTCATCTTCTCAACCACCCAAACGCTTACCTTGACTTCTCTCATGAGATTTACCACACTCTGCTTTGCAGTAAATTATTTGTCTATGGTCTTGTTGGCCCTGTGAGGCTGTACGTACCAAAAATAAACTCTGGTGACACATGCAGAGTGAAGGCTTTTACGTTATTAAGAGAATGAGCAAATAAATGAATAAAAACAGTCATTCTCCTGATTTGGTGGTCTTTGGCTTCTGTCACTTCTGCTGATAGTTTTTTTTTTTTTTAAGACATTCCCAAATGCTTGTGATGAAAATCAATGGTTTATAGTTTAGTTTTTATGTGGATGAAATATACATGCCATCAATTTATAAGGAGCTTGTGACCTAATTGTTCAGAGGAGACAAACATAGGTGAAAAGTTCACACTCTTTCATCCAATAATTCCATGTTTGTTTGATATTTTTGGACTACTCATGCAATAAAGCATCTGCAGCCTAACTGTGTGATGAACTTTTAACATTTGCTGTCCATCTGAGAAAGCACAATTCTGACTGTCAACCAGAGTTCCGTCCTGGATTAATATTTTCTCATCGATGTTATTCAGGAAATTCATAAGCATGCTATGGCAGGGTAACATGAGAAATGTTAATGAATGTGTTTTTTTCCTCTGTGACCCTCTTAATTGCCCTGTCACCCTCCAGCTGTTTCTCCCATGCCCCTTCCATTGGCCCTGGAGATATCCCCTGTAACAAGAAGGGGGGGGTGTGAAGGGCGCAAGCTAAGACAGCTCCAAATCCCAGCCCCAGGGCAGCCCCAAATCCCAGCCCCAGGACACACACGCTAGGTCCCAGTCGTTCAATCAAAAACTAGTCTAGATGCTACTGTAAAGAGATTTTGCAATAGTTAAGGTCCCCAAACAGTTACCTGGATTTATCTGGGGTTATCTGGGTGGGCCTGACCTAATCCCATGAGTCCTGTAAGACAGAGTGTCTTGCCTGCTCACGGAAGAGGCAGTCAGGGGGATGATCCTAGCTGGGCAGCAAGAAAGCAAACACCCTCTGTGAACCGCATTAAGGGACCACGTGGCAAGGAACTGCGGGTGGCCTGTGGGAGTTGAGAACGGTCTCTGGCCCATGGCTGAAAAGAAAAAGGGGCACCTAGTTCTACAGCAGCAAGGAAATAAAGGGAAGAGAATGAAGTGGAGAGGAAGAAATGAAGGAAGAAGACGAGCCTCCTCTAACACCTTCATTTCAGCCTGGTAGGACCCTGGAGAGAGCATCCAACCTCAAACTGGGAGAAAATCAATTGCTGTTGTTTTAAGCCACGAAATTTTTTGGTAATGTGTTATGTAGCATAGAAAAGGAATACGGAAGTCCCTAAGCCCAGAGAGAAAATAAGCAAATATGTTGATTCTTAGCTTCTGAGCTCGTAGAAGCCTGTCATCAACTATTTGGGGAAATATTAATAATGTCTTAGCCAATTTTGTTCCGCTATCAGAGACAGAGAGAGAGGAGATTAAAAACAAAAAATAAAAATAAGCAAAAACTGTCACTGAGATGGATGGAAACGAGGATTCAGAAGGGAGCACAGAGCCTTCTTCTGCCAGATCAGCTCGCGGGACGGCACCACGCAGGGAACTGTGACTTTCTTCCCAAGGTGTGTGGAGGTGCCATCAGAATGGCAATATAACGCCACAGCGGTTTGAGGTTAATGGGTGGCTGGCTGCGGGAACTTTCACGAAGTCCTCACATCCCCAGCCTAATCCACAGAGAACTGCCCAAGAACCCAAAAGGCTTGCTAAATGTCAGTGGCAGCCGAGTGTCGCATGCCGGCCGAGAAGCAGCCACCTCCCTGGAACGAGGAACGAGGTGGCCCCTTGGATACGGGACACCAGCCAGGAGGGGGTGGGGAGGACAGCCCAGGTAAGGGCTGGGCCAGCGCTGCACTTGGCTGGGTGCACCTGGTGGGGACTGTGAACTTTCTTGCCATTTGGAAGAAGTAGGGTCTCCAGAAAGGAAGGCAGGCGGGGAAAATGTTAAGGTCGCCTATTGCCTGCTTTTTACGAAAGTTGTACATACACGAATCGTTCTGATTTTCCAGAGGAAGTAAAGAACAGTGAACAGGGATGGGCCAGGTTCCAGGGGTGGGGATGCAGGTGCTGATTCTATCCGTGCTTTGTGGGGTGCCGGACACTCCCTCCGCCACTTTGGGTCTCAGGTTCTTCATCGACCAAGGGAGAGGTTTGGGTCAAATAATTCCTAACGTCTACTCCAGCTCTAACGTTTTCTTCCTGCCTGTGGATGGAGAAGGGATGTTCTTCACACTCTCAGCATTCCAAGTTTGGACTCCTTTGACCTGGTGGCCCCATAGGAGTCAGGAGTTTGTTATCTGGCAATTTGGGTGATGCCAAAGTTAGTTAGGGACAGATGGGCCCACGCTGCATTCAGCGAGTGGGTCTTTAAGTGCCCCTACCTCACGGAGAGAGAGTACAGCCTGGTGGCGTCGTTGCTGTCCCTCAGAAGGTAGCTGCCGTCACATCCATTGGAGAGGAGGAGGGCCTCGGCCGCGTGGCGCGTGAGGCTGCCGTGGTACCACCTGGAAAGGAGAGAACAGCGTCTTCACTCAGGGCAGGGCACGGGGTGACTCCTCCTGCACTGGCTTCTCCTTGCAAAGAAGATGACCTAGCAACACTCTCCACCATAAGCAGCCTGGAGACCAAGTTCTCAGCCCAAACATCAGGACCAGGAAATGTCTGGGGGAGGCTGATGGGGAGAGCAGAGAGTGGGCCAACAGCAGCCAGTTACGGGCTGAATTGCGTCCTGAAAACTCATGTGTTGCAGTCCTAACCCTCCAATACCTCAGAAGGTGACCTTATTTGGAGAAAGAATCTTTACCAAGTGAAAATGAGGTCATTAGCGTGGGCCCTAACCCAATACGACTGCTGTCGTGTTGTGAAAAGGGGAAATTAGGAGACAGAGTCACACACGGGGAGAACTCACAGACTTGAAGAGCTGAGGAGAGAGGCCTCAGAGGGAACCAAACCTGTCGGCACCTCGATTTCGAACTTGTAGCCCCCAGAACTATGAGACAACAGGCTTCTGTGGTTTCAGCCACACGGTTTGTGGTGCTTTATTAAAGCAGCTCTAGCAAGCTAATACAGAGTGTTGCTTTGTCATCAGAAATTTTTAAAAAGTCCAAGTTAAAATAAGTATAAAATAGGTTTTGACCAATTTTCTGCCTTTTGTGTGAGTCTCCCTCTCACGTTGTTTTGCAAGCGTGGTAACATTTCTTGGGGAAACCACGGAGCTGTTATTCTAGCGTCTATTGTCGTGAGTGAACGAAGCTGGACACGGGAACTCGGATGCCTTATATAGTGTGATGTCCCATCGAGTGTCGTTTCAATCTGACAATTATCTAAGGAGCTGGGGAAGTCCCAAGGAGATTCAAATTGTTCTTTGTGTTTTTTAAAAAAAAATGATCTTTGTGTTTTAGAAAAGACAACATACATCTACGGTATGAAAAAATTCAAGTAGCCCAAAAGGAGACATAGTGAAAATAAAGCCTTTTCATGACCCTTGACCCTCAGTGCCCTGTTCCCTTCCCAGAGCACACCCTGTTACCCATCTTCCTGTGTGTCCTCCTAAGAGACAGTCTGTGCACTTAGAGGGGTGCAGGTGGTGTCCCCCGACTCCTGACTCTACGAAAATAAGAGCATTCTGGGCCCACAGCTCTGCACCTTGTTTCTTTCCCCTAATGACAGTTCTTTCCCATTCTTTTAAGTGACATCACAGAGGCAGTTTGGTGTGATGATCAGGATGGTCCCCCTGGAATCACTTTGTCTGGGTCCCCATCCAGGTGACAATCTCTCACTAGCTGTACAGCCTGGGACAAGTCACTAAACCAGTGTGAGCCTCCTCATGTCTAAAACAGTCATACCTCGTATGCCAACTGTGATTCCTGCACACGTCAACGTGGGTGAAGTGGCCCCAAGAAGCAAGCGTGGCAAACAGCAGTGCTGAGCGCACGTTAGTTGCTATCAGGAAGTCATTGAGACCCGCAAAGCCATACTTGCCATTTACTCTCTGTGGCATGATTCTCTTGTTGCTCAAATATCATTTTTAAATACTTTTTATTTAGATTGGATAAGAAAGCTACATAGCAGAGGCCATTGCTGACTGCGAAGGACGCACAGTCCAGGGCAGTGGGGATGAAGGAAAGACAGGCGATTCGATGAATTGTGTCCATTCGATGAACCAAGTGCTATCAAAGAGGGGTGTATAGCGTGCAAGAGCTTCAAGGGAAAGCCCTACTCTGGCAGGAAGGAATCGTGTTGTTACGAACCACACTGGTGTCCACGGTGACGTCCCTGTACCACAAAAATTTTAGCCTGAGTAATAAACATAAGCACATCTGTGGAAGGAAGTTTCTACATAGAGCTCCAAGATATCTTTTTTCTAAATCTTCATTTCCTAATGCATGTTTCTTTAGCATGTTTCCTCTTTTAGGCAGAGATGGCTCCATCCTGTATTAGAAATGTCTTTGTGAGCTGAAAACAATGGCATGAAAAACATTTTGCAAAACCCACTGAGTTATTCACCCAGAGAAGCCTCATTCATTGAACTGGTTTCCCAGACAAGTTCAAATTTGTTCACTACAAAATGCTTTCAAAGGACAGTTGGAAGAATGACAAGTGAGGCCATAATGAACTTCAGGCTCAGCTGAAACCAAAATCCTAATTCTTTTTGATAAGTGAAATCTCTCCAAGGTCGTGAGAATTTAAATATATTTTTCCAACAGTTAATTTTAGGGTAAACATTTTAACATAAAATTCCATTTGAGCCCATAGACAACTTATGTGAAGCAATATTTGATTCACAAAATCCTAAACCAAAGGATTTGGAAATTCCTTTGGATTCTTTTCAGAATTTACAGAATTCTCCTGATTTTTAAAACATGTAAGAGCGTTTGATTTGCTTGAATCTTTTGATATTTAATTACAACCTGAAGTTAGTTTTCACTGAGAATTTTTTGTGGTAATTTAAAAAATAACTACATACCATAAATACATAAGAAGTACTTGCATATAAAGCAAGAAAAATCACACTGTGCTGCAGTTTAGAAAAGTCTCAGAAAGTATTTATTCTAGGTGGCAGCGATTTTTATGTTTTGGGTTTTTATGGCGTCCAGGGCCTGAGCAAGCCTATTATAGAGCTGTCCATGCAGCCACCTACATGCCAAGATGTCTATGGTGCAGTGAGGATGCTCGTTCTCCAAACAGCTCTTCCCAAAAACCTAAACTTCCCCTTTTCCATTGAGTTCAGCCTTCCTTTCCTAGAACATTTTGTTGAGTATTTCTTCCAGGGGAGAGAATATATATCCAAATAACATTGTGTATCTTTTGTAGGAATATGTCCACTTTTGATAAGGATGGTTTTAGAATGTGTCCATAAAGAACTAAAAGTTAAAAATAGAGTTCAGTTGGTAATTTTCCCATGATCAACCATCTGTACCTTCAGTCATTGCTTCAGACCTGTGCAAAGCGTCGTGCTAGGCAGATCAAAGGGAACAAAAATGAAAAAGCCCCAGACTGGGCTACAAGAAACCAATAATGTAGTCAGGAGGAGAAGACAAGGATATTGCAAACTGTGTTCGAGACAGTAAAATACCCAAGGAATGTTCTAGCAAGAAAGATCAAAACCAGGTTCCTTGCATAAGCCAGCGTCTAAGTAGGCCTTGAAAGATACTTAAGTGATTTTTTGAGTGTGTATTACTTTTTTCTGCTTATAAAGCATACGTAGTAAAGATTAAAATATATACATGTAAAAAAGAGAAAATGAAAGTCTTTTACATAAAAGGAAATATGTATGTCAAATAAACAATCTCACTACTAATCAGAGAAATGCAAATTAAAACAACAATGTGATATTTTTCTTTATCTGCCAGATTGGTTACATTGGAAAAGTTAGACAGTATTAAGTACTGGAGAATACTTAAGTGTTGGGGCAATGCGTGTTATTGTCCCTTGTTAGGAGTATGAGTTGGAAGGGCATTTAGCATGTCAAGCCTAACTAACCACACATATGACCAGAGATTCCACTTCTACTGTCTGCCTAGTGAACAGCCACACACAAGCAGAAGGAAATATGAACACAAGTGCTCACTGCACCGTTGTTTGTGGAGTCAAAAACCTGGGGCCATTCTAAATGTCCATCAGCAGGGAGATGATAAATAAAGCTGAGTGCTCACAGGATGAATTATGTAAAAAGTTAGCCAAAAGTGTTTGAAAAGGTATCCGTGTATTTTTGGTTGTCAAAGATGGGGGGCAGGGTGAGGTGCTCTTGTCATTTAGTGGGAAGGTGCCAGGAATGCTTAACATGCAACAAGAAGGAAGCAGTCCTGAACAGCCAAGAATTGTCCTGCTCGCGATGCCAAGAGCACGCCCACTGAGACACTGAAGGTGTTTGTGAACACACACACCCCAGAGTTGGTAGATCCCCAAATATATTGCTAAGTTAGAACTAGTTGCAGGCACGATATGATACCACTTATTTTTAACGCCCTCCCCCAAAATGCAACACATATACATTTACATATTAAGAAATGTAGGCCAGGCGCGGTAGCTCACGCCTGTAATCCTAGCACTCTGGGAGGCCAAGGCAAGAAGATTGCTTGAGCTCAGGAGTTCGACACCAGCCTGAGCAAGAGCGAGACACTGTCTTTACTATAAAACTAGAAAGAAATTAGCTGGACAACTAAAAACATATAGAAAAAATTAGCCAGG